CACCCACCCACCCCGACACAGTGGAAATATAAGGCATTACTGTGAAGACACAGCGCAAATCCTGCACCAGTTTGGCAGTACTTTTACTCGCCATGCCTAAATTTATCTGCGTACATGTTATCGACACAGTCGGATAAATTATTTCTCAACTTCTTCAGATTCAAAAAGGGAAACTCCATGGCAGCATCGACGTCGGCCTCTCTGTCATGTCCATCAAAAAGAGGGCTCGCCGCATCGACCTGGACACAGAGGAGCATATCTATCACCTGAAGGTAAGACGTGTGGTGGGTAAGGTTGGGTATCATTCAAACTGGAAAAATTCACGGTCCGATTCCTTGTTTTGATTCTCAATTCCGATTATTTTTAGGGGCAGTGTCAAAATATGTTCAACCAGCTAGCCAGAGTTCTTTCTGGGTGAAATAGTCCTAACTTCTCTAAGAAGTTTAATTACATGAACTTTTGACTTTTTAATGAACTTCACTTACCTCACAGGGCAATTATCAACCACTATATACTGTAAATATCAAACCTATGAACTTGAATATAAATGTTATGAATTTATTTTGCACAGGGGTACTCTGTGAATTGTTTTGCTGCACTGGCAGATTATTTCACTTAGGTTCACTTAGGTTCAGRCTCAAGTGAAATAATCTGACAGTGGAAAGAGACAATTGCACTTGGTAAGACTCCTTGAAATAAGGAACATTTCCWAGCTAACATGATTAATAATCCAACCTATTCTGCTTTTGTTTAGTACATCAGTCTCAAAACAAGATCAAAAGTATGTTTTGGTTGGATATAAGATTGTAACACTCAGTTAGATGGGCAGTTTTTGCAGTGTACACTGAGCTGATGTTGCAGTTTTAAGGTCAAGTTTAACTAAGATGTACTATTTTATTGTTTTACCACAAGTGTCAGTGAAGGCCCGCACAGTGTGACAGAACCCTGAGCATGTGTTTAATCATGTTGGTCATGCATCCTGCTTTGCACATCATAATTKTATTATTTTATTAAAGTTAAGTCACACTATAGATTACATTGCATATTGTCCATTTGCGTACATACTGCCTGCAAATTCTTCTTTGGTGTCCCTATGGCTCACCTGCGGGCCTTAGACAGCGTCTACATATTTCAGTCTCTGGACTGGGTATGGAAACTAGGAATCAAAGTTTTAAAATTTGAACACTTCCAAGGGAATCAACGTTTTAGTCCCGGTTCCAAACTGGTCTCGATGTCCAGTGAAGAGTCAAGATTTTTAATCAATAAGCAGATGCTTAGCAGATGTCCAAGGTCAAAGCTCATTATCTGCTTCCTGTTTAGGTCAAGTCTCAAGATATCTTTGATGCCTGGGTGTCAAAGCTGCGCCATCATCGCCTTTATAGGCAGAACGAGATTGTGCGATCTCCCCGGGAGGCCACCATGAGAGTGTTTCCTCCCTCATCTGCTATGGAGTCGCCCCAACCAGCCCCRAGTGTAGTGAACGAAGCAAAGGTGGGCTTCCCCATCTCCTAAAGGCAGTTATTCTTCCAAAAATGATGAGGAAAACCACTTTTATGTATTTATGGATGTCTAGAAGTTTGAATGACCGGCTGATGTTATTTATTATGTGCCATATTGCTTTTATATGTACAACCTCAAATCCAATGAAGTTGGTACAATGTATAAAACAAGTAAAACCAGAATACAATGATTTATTGTATTATTTTACCAGGAAGCCACACTGTTGTAACTCATTCAGAATGTGGCTTGGCATTGTCTTGCAGAAATAAGTAGGGATGTCTTGGCAACTTGTGAAAGACTGAGCCTTTCGAGATGCTAAATTTGTCATGACATTCACGTTTCACATTAACCTGTTCACCTGTTTAATGTTCCAAACAGGTGTTTTTTTAGCATTCCTCAACTTTMCCAGTCTTTTGTTGCCTCTGTCCCAGCTTTTTTGGAATGTGTTGCCTTTCAAAATGAGTGAATGTTTACAAAATTAATGTTTATCCGTTTAAACATTAAATGTCTTTTTTTGTTGTAGGGTATTCAATTGAATATAGGTTTAAAATTGTTTGTAATCATCATTCAGTTTTTATTTCTGTTTTACACAATGTCCCAACTTCATTGGAATTGGGGTTCTAATCAAAATGGTATAATATCTTTACAAACTAAAATCTACTAAAATCTTTACAAATGACAGAACTATTTGCAAGTGACAAATGAGACCCTCTGAATGCCAAGAAATGTTTTTTTTTTCTATAACTTAGGGCAACACTGGATAATCTTCTCAAGGACAAAGGATATTTTGACCCACAGTGCCTTGCTGCTACAGCTTTTAAAGCAAAAGGAGGATTATTTTTAGTCTTAGTGTTGTTAGATTCTTGCCGCAGGGCAGCTGTCTTCTCTTAAGTTCTGACACATTTCTCCTACCATTTTTTTGTAACCTAACGAGGTCAGTGGAACGCATCAGTCCAAACTCAGTTCATTTTTTTARCAGTCCCCTGAATAATATTCTAGAGGGTGGAGGGTGTTTTATGGATAATAAAAGGTGTTTTTATTTGAAACTGTGGCTGCACCAGGACAACTTTCTGAAAGCAGAAAGTAAAATTCACCAAACATTAATAGTGTTGGCAGATGCTGCTGTCAGATAAGATTGTGTGTCTATTATCACACAGCTGTTGAACAGGTCTTSTCAGCTGTCATGAATGAAAGCAACTGGTTGAAATACTCAGTTACTCCACCATCTTGATATGGCCTCTGGATTGTGGAGCTAATTGTTTGGCTAATGCTTATGAATCATAGACAAATAGCTTAATGTAGTGAAGCTGATTGGACAGGTCTCTATCCAAACCATTAGAAGAACAAACAAAAAAGGTTGTTTGTTTCTTTCCAGCTTGGCAGGAAACCTGTTCCTTGTCTGTGTGTTTGAAGTGTGTGTAAATGTGAGGACGTGGCTTCTCCTCGGAGTGACACCTTGTGCCACATGGAGACCATTAGATGTGATCATAAGGGTTTGCCATCAGCCGGATGAGAGCTCAGATCAGCTTTTAAACAAAACAACTCCAGTCTTCAAGCCTGTGCCAAACACAGACTAGCCATTAGCTCATCAGTCCAGTCAGAATTAAACATTGTTCAGAGAACACCTTCTCTAAAAGATCCTAACCTTTGGCTTTAAGGGTTTACTTTTGTGTATTAATGCAGCCCAGTCCTTACCTGGCAGATTTCTGGTACTTTCAGGCTACCTATCCATACCTGGCATTTACTGGTTACGTATCTGGTACTTATCACTTCCTGGGTACATAATGGGTCCTTACAGGCTACCTACTGGGTACCCATTCTGTAATCAGGTGTGCACCAAGTAAGAAGGGGTTGGATGAGTGGGATTGGATCRTCCAACCCCAACCTGTGTGTCGTAAGTACCAGAAACATACCAGATCAGGTACCAGGTAAGTCACCTGTAAGTACTGGATTCATACATACCACAGCACCATTTTCAGACTCTACGTAATCTGATCACCTATTATTTCCTGACAACAAAAAACAATATATAGTAATACGCAATATATAATATGATACAGCTGTTAGAATTTATTAAAGTTATTAGATAGATAATATTATTAATCGTATCTTTAAAGTGTAACTAACCCCCTCGTGAAAGGATAAATCCGCCCCAAGGAAAATTTGAAAAATGCCATCAAAGTGGGCGGTGCTAAGAGACACTGAGGGGCGCGGTATAAAGCAGGGCTATTCAACTAAATTTCTCCGGGGACCACAGTTACTGTCGATCAACAGCTGAGGGGCCGAATATCCAGCAATTAAAGTTATTATGTAAATAAACCAAGTATTACAAAGATCTGTTACCTTTGAATTAGTTTATTTTGCTGCATTTAATCATGAAAACAACATACAGAACCCTATAAAAGTAGTGATAATTAAACATTATCAAAAACAAAAAGAACACATTCTGCCTCCTATTTGACACAAATAATATTTTGACATCTCTGACTTGCCCAATTTTTAAATCAGTTTTATTTTCACCATCATTTTATCTTCAACTGCTTGTAGTTTTAAGTTTCTTGAGTGTTTATAGAAATGGTTTTTACCAGCTTCTAGCCAARATTCTGACGTTTCTGTAGATACCAAACATGTCTATGTTTAACTAAAAGAACTTAAAGTAATTAAAGTAGAAAACTGGGGGTTTGGGCTTAAAAGATGAATGAACCAATTGGCGGGCCAAACTTTGGTCACTCGTGGGCCACATCCGGCCTGCGGGCCGCCAGTTGAATAGCCCTGGTATAAAGTATAAGAATGTTATAAGAACAAAAATAGCCAAATCTATTGCAGTACTGCACAAAGTAAAGGAGTTATTCAATGATAAAGCTTTGTTTATGTTATATAATGCAATAATTGTTCCACACTTGATTTACTGTATTGAAGTCTGGGGAAAGCATGTAAACAATTACTAATCCTATTTTTATTTTACAGAAAAGAGCTGTAAGAATTATCACCAGAAAATATAACAGTCACCCATCAAATACATTATTTTATCAATTAAAATTCTAAAAAAAATTATGAGTTGGTTGATTATAATATTTTGCAGATTGTGTATAAGGCTTATAAAAATGTATTACCTTTAAACATCCAATCAAATTTTGTTAAGAGGGAAAGTTATTCTAATCTTAAGGGACTAGAGACATTTATAAAACCTAAAATTCGAACAAATTTGAAGGATCGATGTACTTTAGTCCAAGGAATAACATTATGGAATAATCTGGAAAGTGATTATAAAATGCTGGTTCAATGTATTTGTTTAAGAGAATGAGAAAAGTTAGTTTGAAATATGAAGTTGTATAATGTGTGTTCATAAGAGATGTTGTTTGTGAAGGAGTTGAAGTTTTCGTTTTGTTTTTACTTGAACATTATCATTGTTTCAAGTGACCTTTTGGAAAATAGCCACAGATTTAAGATTTYTCTACCTCCTTTCATTTTATATAAAATTTATTTTGTTTTTAAATGAAGTGAATAAATAACTAAATATAAAATATAAATACTGTTTCTGTGAATATGCTGCTGATATGTCCTCTGCTGGTTCAAACGATAAACACAGTCCCCAGAGAGTCTTAGATTAGATCTCATAGATTTTACGGTAACCAGAAAGAAACCACTGTAACTGGTATAGATGGATTACAAGGGTTGATCAAGTACACCAAAGATCAATTTAAGTTTAAAATATCTATTCAATAGTGCAAAAAGGTATATTTTTAGCCATGATTTAAACCTCAGTTTGTATAATAATTCAGAATATAGCCACTTCCTGGATGTTGGTGTTACTAAAATATCATGAGCTTTGTAAAACTCCTCAAAAACGTGTAGTTCCCAGCTCTGACCCTGTCTATCATCACATCACTGCAGGCCAAGTCAGTGGGCACGTCGTGGAAGCCGGCAGCCCCCAGCAGCAGCAGCAGCAGCAGCCTGCCTGCCTCCTACAGCAACGGGCAGAGCAAGGTGGTCGCCTGGCTCCAGGAGTCAGAGGAGATGGACAAGTGTGCCGAGGGTGCGTGCAGTTTCCCTCCTGATGTCAGGAACAAATCTGATTTTACAAAAGAAGTGGATTAAATTGAGCCTCCTGCCTTTTGATAAATCCCCCAGAAGTGGATTGGCGGCTATTTCGTGGCACATAATGTGTTTGTGAACTCCTGGATGTGATTTGTTGTTATTATTATTATTTTTTTTTTTTAGAGCTCGCACGCTGTCAGTCCAACCTGACTGAGCTAAGCCGGTTATTGCAGAGTTTAGAGATTCTACAGAGGACACAGTCGGCGCCTAACTTCACAGATATGCAGGTGAAACAGATGCACACACACACACATACACACACAGATGTGCTTGCAAATAGTCACAAACAGCTCAGGGAAGGAAGTGTACTCAGGGCTTCCATTACAAAACAGAAAGCATGTGTGTTTGTGAAAGAGAGAGAAGATAAGCCAGGTAATGATGGAGCAGTTTTAGTCTTTAAAAAACTGCAGAATGAGGCACACCTCAGCAGTTGCCCTCATTTTTTTCAGTGTTAGACCACCTGTGTGGCCTGTGAGTAACGTGCAGGTTGTTTAGCTGCTCTGTCAGCCTCAGCCTCCACTCCTTTCTTTTATAAGTAGTACTTTCTGTAAAAGCCATAAGTGCACAAACTGAGTTTTTGAACTATGCTGACATTTTAATTGTTGTGAAAATGATGACAATATTATAACCAACAGCTGTTTTAGCTTGTTTTTGCTCTGATTTATAATGCTCAGTTTAAATGTACTCACAGGATTAATTAGCAGCACCTAATAATTTATTGTCTATTATAATTTTGGTCTGAAATGCATCTTTACACATCATTTTTGTTTGCAGTGTATTTAAAAAAAAAACATATAGTTTTTTTTGTTTTGTTTTGTTTTGACATTCCACTGCAATCTACATGCCGCTAATTGTTTTTGTGTTAGTTTGTGTGTTTGTCCTGTTTACCTCCCTATGCATATTTTTATCCATATGTGCCTCAAAGGCCAATTGTGTAGAACTGTCAAAGAAAGAAAAGCGCTTGAACAGAAGATGGAGAACAAAGAGTGTCGGCAAAGAYGCTAAATTCCAGCTTCAGGTACCACAAACACTCATGCACAACAAGCACGGTTCGGCTTCTAACCCTGCATAAATGCCAACGTATTGTAGATGTTTTTAACAGATTGTTGTTTACTCCAAGTATGAACTCATTTAGGCTCTAGTAATCAGAAAAGTCWTATTCAGATTAATGTGAAAATAATGTTCTCCGTGCTTTGGTTTAAGACGTATGCAGTGTTTGTTTTAGTTTATGTAATGTGTTCCTGCTCCTGTTCGATCACAAATACACAACCATAACTAATGTCTTGTTTGACCTTTATKTTCATTTTTTGTTTGTTTGATTCTGTCATTGGCTCTGCAGCTCACAATCAGCAGTGTCACAGCTTCAACACTTTGTGCTTAAACGCCTTTATGTTGCATAATCTGTTAATCCAAGCTGATTTCTGCACCACTGCTAAACACAAATAAAAAGCTGAACCTCATTTATATATATA